AGTCAACCATGGTTTGAAAATATTGTGTGGAAAATTCCAGAAATAAGTCATTCAGAAGATGTGTAGTGGCTCTTAAATTCTAGGAGAATGTTATGTGTTTGTCCTTGTGTCATTCAAAGCGTCACTAGATCTACAGCACATTGCTGACGCTCAGTAGTTATCTGCTCAATTGTCTTCAGTTAAAGTGAGAACAGTGTTCTTTGTTTCAGGTGGAATTTAAGAAAAACCAGATTTTTCTTTCTTATTTTTTAATTGTCATTTGTCTTAGATGTTTGTCTTTGATGATGAGCACTGGTCCCCTTAGATGAACAGGTTATTTGGGAGCTAAGCATGTCTTTTGTTACTTCATGAGTAAGGGTTTTTGTTTGGTTGGTTGTTTTTCCTGGATCCTTTCAGAAGCAGGTGCCAAGTTGGAACTTGACATGTGAGAGGTGACCTTAGGAAACGTCTGTGAAGGGAAACAGGAAAGAACAACAGAAGGCAGAGCCTTCAGACAGAGCCAGAGGATGGAAGAAAGGCCAGGGAGGCCAGACTCTAGCCTGCAGTGCAGTTCTGAGAAGGTCTTGACATGTTGGGTAGGGCTTTGCCCAGCAAGGATGCCTATTGCAGAAGTTCTAGAGTGGGCAGGGCCAGTCCTGGCCCCAGAACATCTGTACACATAGGCACTGGCTGGCAACAGCCCAGGACACACATAGTTTCAGCATGACTGTAGTGCATCCCAAGTGGCAGTTGGGGGCTATCAACCAGCTGTGCCTTTCTGGAAGGAAGCTCTGAATGGCACATCCCCATGGCTGCCATGGTGAGTCAACACAGTAGGGTACAGGTCTGAAGCAATCAAATGGGAAATTCCAGAAATAAAAATGTAGGGGCTGTGTGCTGTTCTGAGAAGCAGGGTGAAACTTGGGGTTGTTCTGATCCCTCCTGGAGTATGGATCATCCATCTAGTATATCCATGCTGACTACACTCTCTGCCCATCTGTCACTGAGTGGCCATATTGATTATTGATCAACTATCATAGTGTTTCTGTGTAAGGTGGGGTGAGCATAACTTTATTACAGTGCATTACAGTTTTTCTATTTTTCTATTGTGTTGTTATCAATTTCTTGGTATTTGTAAATTAAAATGTATCATATGTGGATTATATAGGAAAAAGATAGTATAAATGGAGTTAGCAACCAGGCATCCACTGGGAATCATTGACTATATTCCTTGTGGATGGGGAACTTTTTTGTTACATCCTGAAAAAGTTATCTGAGGGTATTCTTCAGATGAGTAAACAATGAATCAAAAATTGATTAATCAAAATTGATTAATCCTACCACAAAAGTCTGACAGTGACAGGAAGAATGGAAGATGGCAAAGGAAATAGTTAAATCTTAATAACTGTTAAAATGTATAGGTAAATTCTTAACTATTTTTACTTTTATTTTTATAAGCTTACAATGAAACAGATTTCCTTATGAATTCTCACACATACTTAGTTGGATTGACCCTTCCTGCCTCCGTCTCTCCTGTCTTCGTTCCCTGTCAGTGTTGATTCCCTCCCACTGTTTTCCATTCTCTTATCACACGAGTTCTTTTACCCTTCCAACCCTTTTCCTCAACGCCTTATTCCCACCTCATGGCCCCTTTCTTGCTTTTTGGACTCTACCCCCACATTCCTACATATATATACACATATGAAAATTAGAGGCCAAGGTTTACATATGAGAGAAAATCTGTGGTGTTTGTCTTTCTGGGCCCTAGTCACCTCACTTAATGTATTTTCCAGTTCTGCCCATTTTCCTAAATATTTCATGTTGTTTTTCTTTACAGGTGAATGAAATTCCATTGTATATATGTACATATGTTCTTTATTCATCCGCCAATGTTTAGAAATCTAGGCTCAGTCTATTTTCTTCCTGTTGTGAACAGGGAAGTAATGAACCTGTATGCACAAGTATCTCTGTGGTAGGATATAGAGGCTTTGGGTATATGCCCAGCAGTGGTAGACCTGGGCCACAAGGCAGTTCTACTTTTAGTTTTGAGAGCCCTTCACACTGATGTCTGTGGTGATGGTACCAGTTTGCAGTCCAGCCAATAGACTAAGATCCCTCTTTCCATACATCCTCACCAGCATTTGTTACTTGTTTTCTCGTTGACAGCCACTCTAGCTGGGATGGAATGACATCTCAAAGTAGTTTTGATTTGCATTGTCCTGATGGCTAGGAATGGTGGACCTTTATACATTTGGGAACTGTCCAGTTCAATATTCCCATTTTTGAATCAGCTTGTTTCCTTTTTAGTTGTTTTTGTTCTTCCTATAGTCTGGATATTAACCCTCTGTCAGAAGTATAGTTGGGATTGTTTTCCCATTTTGCAGGCTGTCTCTTCATTCAATTAACTGTTTCCTTCGATGTAAGGAACTTTAGTTTCATGAGGTCTCATTTGTCAATCATTGCCCTTATTCTCTGAGTGACTGGAGCCCTATTCAGAAAGTCCCTGTCTATACTCTGTCTTGAAGTGTTTTCTTTATTTTTCCTCCAGTGGTTTCAGCATTTCAGGTTCAGGGTAAGGTCATTAATCTATCTGGAGTTGATCTGTGACAGATACAGATCTAGTTTCATTCTTCAACATATGGATATCCAATGTTTTTATTTTACCTTCATGTTTTATCACTTTATTTTTTAAATATTTATTCATTTAGTGTGTATGTACCCACATGCCATGATTTGTGTGTGGAGATCAGAGGACAACTTTTGTCAGTTGGTTCTCTCCTTCCACCACATGGATCCTGGGTATTGAACACAATTCACCAGGCTTGGCAACAAGCACCCTGATCAACTGAGCCATCTCACTGGCCCCTGGAATATTAATAATCTTTAAACCCTTAAAATGAAGGCTACAGTAAGAAAATGAAAGATGGAGAATGACAATGATAAAACAGAAGTAATAAAAACACCAAGAACTGGAAGCAAAGTAAAATGTCAGTTTTAAAGTGCTTTGATTAACTTTCACAGAGAAATAAGAAATTAGGATAGCCCCTAAATAGCTGAAATTTAAAAGTCAGTAATAGGATTGAATAAACATTTCCAGAAAGTAGAATTCAAAGACGAGCTGGAAAATAGCCAAAAAAAAAAAAAGAAGACAATTAATTAACTAAAGAAATTCAATGTAAAACTAATTGGAGTTCCAAATATGCCAAAGGTAAGTAAAATGGGGATGCAGTATCCAAAGAGATGGATAAGAAATGTTTTACAGAACTGACAGACTGGTGGCTGACTCTGGAGTAAATGGCCTATGCAGTAAATGGAGAAAGATGGACATGCAGGGTGTTCCAGTGAGGTTTCAGAATAGCAGAGATAGAAGACAATGTAGGAGCTTCCATCAAGGAAAAACAGTCTATATACATGGGGTAAATATGGCATCAGAATGTGCTGGAAAGTGGGTGCACTGGAAACCGGGCAAAAAGAAAACAATTTCTTATAGCATGGAGGCGGTACGTTTTTACCCTGTAATTCCTGCCTGTTTTTCGCTTCTTCCCAATTCCCTCATCCTCATCTTCTGCCCTTCTCTATTAGAATATCTGAATTTTATTTTCAGGGTTGGAGAACTGCTAAGGATTACTGCTGACATTTCTATGTAGTGATAGATTTATACCAATTATTTTACTCTTTGTTTCACCATTTTCAATTCCCCCTGCCATTCTTTAAGCTATGATTTACTTCTCTGTGGGTGGGATGTAGACAGACTAATGATATTTTCAAAGACTCCAAGACTGAAAAACATTTAGCTCTTAGGGTTTTTTTCCTCAGGGAGCCTCTAGAAGAGGATTGTTCTGCTAAAATGGGGAAGCAAATTTGCTGTAGTGCTCCCCACAAACTGATCACCCCAAGGATGTGCATCAAGAATGAATGAATCCAAACATGGGTGAATCTTACAGTTCTGAGGGGAACGCTCTTTCTGGTATATTGAAATATCAGACATTGGTGCCAAGGCTATCCTCCGCCTCCTCCATCTTCCCACACAGCCATCACTCCAGATTACAGACCCAGAAACTTCCCGGTCTCTTTCAGTCAGCACCAGCCTGTACATTCATCCCACTGGTCAGTTCTATTCCACTCATTACTCCCTTCAGGGACAAGGACTTTGGTCCCCTAAAGCGAACAAAGTTGTTCTTGCTTACTGATTGGAACTGTAATCTGTGTGAGAGCAGAAGCCATGGCATGTTAGTCACTGTTTTATCCCCACTGTCCAGTTTGTGATCTTTCACTGGACCCCTCTCAGGGACACACATTTGAACTGTGGTCATCGTTCGATGGCATGGATGTATTGATTTATTTTTCACTCATTTAAACTTGTTTCAGTTTCTAGGCATTTGAATTCTAACATTCTGGCTGAGAGATGCGAGATCTTGAACAAAATGAGGGAAGAGTAGTAATATAAAATGTTCAGGAGATGACAGTAAATTGTTTAGTAAGCCAAGTCCCCTCACAACCTTCATCTTCCCAGCCAATTAAAAGAAAAAAAGCAGCAGCATTTTGGTGACCTGTAGGCTATGAGCTTCTTCTCTGGGCACCAAGTGGCCAGTCTATCTCTATTTCCAAGGGTCAAATGGGAAGATATTAACTTGTTTCTAACCCAGAAAACCAGCCAGTGTCTGGCCTGTTTCCAGCGCCTGAAGGGCCGGCAGAGGTGGAGGGTGTGAATTTGAGAAGAGAGTGGCTCAAGTAGTGGGGTACCTCTCTCTTTCAGGCTCAGAAAACTGCAGTTTTCATGTGACCTATCCTCTTCAGATTGTTAATTCTTGGTAGTTTCTGGCAAACAGATCCCCACATCTTGGAGGGTGTGGTAGCTTGAATGTAATTGGCCCTCCTAATCTCATAGGGAGTGGTACTATTAGAAGTTGAGGCTTTAGTGGAGTGGAGATGACCTTGTTGGAGGAAGTGTGTCACCATGGGGGTGGGCTTTGAGGTTTCCAATGCTCAGGATAATGCCCAGTGTCTTAGTCAACTTCCTGTTGCCTACAAGCTATAGGACTGTCAGCTACTCTTCCTGCATGTTTCCGTGCTCCCCATTGTGATGATAATGGCCTGAACTTCTGAAACTGTAAGTGAGCCACCCAGATTAATTGTTTTCCTTTATAAGAGTTGCAGTGGTCATGGTGTCTCTTCACAGCAACAAAAACCCTAAGTAACACAGAGGGACTGAAGTTGAGTCATGATATGTGGTGTTAGGAGTGGATGGTTTTCATCATATCTCTCTGGAAATATTTGAATAAGTGGCCTCCCTGAAAAGAGAGGCTTGGGGCCAAGGAAGAGAAAGATATGTGTACATGGTAAAGGAGCAGAGTGAGACACACCCTTCTGTGCGTCTTTCCCTCAGTGCATTAAGGCAGTGGTTCTCAACCTTTCTAGTGCTGTGACCCTTTAATACAGTTCCTCATGTTGTGCTGACCCCCAGCCATAAAATTATTTTCATTGCTACTTCATAACTGCAATTTTGTTACTGTTATGAATCATCATGTAAATATCTGTGTTTTCTAAAGTCTTAGACCACTTCTGTGCAAGAGTTGCTGGATCCCCAAAGGGGTTGCAACCCACAGGCTGAGAACCACTGCACTAAAGGAAGAGAGCTAGGAGTGGCAGAGGGAATGACTAACAGTGAGGCCCAAGCTGAATGTCTTTCTATGGCAGAGCCTGGAAGTTCAAGTTTAACACTGAGAATGCCACCAAGTTGGAGACACACTAGAATAATCTAGAGGTTAAAAAAAAAAAGAAATACAAATAATGCACGTGCCAACCCCTAAATTGATTAAACCAGAAATTCTGGGTGTGCAGACTGACTGGGTATTGCCAGCTGGGAAACAGTGCCCAGCTGATTCTACTATCCACTCATCTCATGAAAGGGTACTTGAAGGCAGGTGTCTATCAAGATCTGTGGCCTGCCACCCCTGCATTGCCTGGAGCTTTACAAAGACCAGCCCCAAACGCTAAGTTAAAACTCTCATCTTAGCAAGCTTCTCAGAGCATTTGAAGGGACTCGGCAATTTGCATGTCACTGAGAGAGGGAACAAGTGTCCTCAGCTGTGACTTGTTAAAATACTTATGGAGACTCTCCTTAACTAGTCCCACCTTTCCTCTCAAGTTTGCCAAGCAGGAGCAGGGATTCCCTGCCATTGCTAGGTGGGTAGAACTCTATCCTTTGGCCCCCTTGCTGCCATGTGTATCCATAGGTTCATCTAATCAAGCCATGGCATGGGTTTTAGCAGGAAAAATGTGCACTTGGCTACTTTTCTTTCCCTTTCCAGTCCCCAAATCTAGAGTGTGTGTATCCCGACATTGCTTGTGAGACAGAATAGCCTTTCACCCCAACCTGGGCCCCAGTGCACAAGCCTTCATGTAGATAGCACCTTCAGTACCACCTACTCCTTGGTGCCGTTTCCTTCGGAAGGTCACAAGACAGCCTGCACCTTAGAGTGTCCTACTGTCTAGTGGAGAGTTTGGTCACACACATAGAGGAATGTTGTCCTTTTATTTTACTTCCAGCCCCACTGCTCAATCTACTTAGATAGCTCTTAGTCACAGTCTCTTAATTCACAGGTCCCACCCTCCTTACAGGAACCAAGCAGAGCAGTGAACACCAGGCAGAACTGCATACTGCATAGCAGATGACAAGGACCTTAGACTTGGATGGAGGAGAAATCAGAAATAAACTAAGACTGACACACAGCCCCACTAGAGAAGAAATCCAACAATACAGCTCAGCTTCGATTCTGCCTCAGCTGCAACTTGGCCCCAGCTAACATCACCCTGGGAAATCGTTTCTCTTTAAGTGCTGGCAACCCATTGCTGTTTCATAAGTTGCTTTTCGCGGTGATGAAATGGTTGGTGTTTGTCTTGACTGGCTTAAGGAATACCCAGAGAGCTGGTCTAGCACTGAGTCTGGATATGTGTGTGAGGATGTCTTTAGAAGAGATTGGCATATGAGTGACTGCATTTGCTGAGAGAGACTTTCCTTCTCCCCTGCAAAGGTGGGCAACAGCCAATTTGCCAAGGAACGGGATGGAACAAAAAGGAAGGGGTCTGGCAGTTGTCAGTATTTGCTGGAGCCAGTATATGCATTTCCTATCGTCAGTCACCAGAAGTCCACATCTTTGGGCCTTACAAACTCTGGAACTTACATCAATGCCCTGAAATGTCTCAAGTCTTCTGCCCTGCACTGATGATACCAACTTCCCTGGTTCTCAAGTCTTTGGACAAACCCGAGTTCCACCACCAGCTTTCCCGAGCTCCTCCATCTTGAGACAGCTGTTGTGGAACTTCTCCACCTCCATAGTTAGTTAGGTAAGCCAATTCTTATAACAAATCTCCTCTTGTGTTTCTGTCTGCCTTCCTGTCTGTCTGTCTGTGATATTGGCTGATTATAGGGGAAATGTTTTACTAATATAGTAAGCAAAAAGATAAACCACAGGGCAGATTAATCAGTATACCCATATTTATAGCAAAGAAACCCCACACATTTTAATATAATCCTAATTTCCTGCTTTAAAACATCTTTTATGTAGCCAGGCATGCTATATAAAAGCAAGCAATAGGAGTATGCCTTTAATCCCAGTGCTTGGGAGGCAGAGGCAGGCGGATCTCTGAGTTCAAGGCCACCCTGGTCTAGAGAGCAAGTTCCAAGACAGCCATGACTACATAGAGAGACCATGTTTTGACAAAAAACAAACAAAAACAAAAACAAACATCCATCCATACAAACAAAAACTAATCTTTTGTGTAATGTGAAATGTCTCTCGGGCTCAGAAAGCATTTCTCTGCAGAGGCAATGAAGCAGCTCACACTCGGTATCTAGCTGTGTCATGTATTTTTAGCCCTATTCATCCAGTATGAAGGTGCAGACCAAACCCTTCAACATTCTCTCTACAACAGGCTTGCTTGGGAAGTCTGGGGCAGGTGACAATAATGACACCAAGAGTTTATGTTCCCAAGTGAAGTCAAAACATTCACCAAGGAACCTCATAAATCGGCTAGACTGAACTAAATAGTAAAGGGAAGGTGAGGGGACCACAAGCCCCTGGGTGAAAAGAAAGCAGGAGAGAAGCTTGAAGCAAAGAGAAAGCAGGAGGCAGGGATGGTTGGACTGGCCAATGAGTCAGCATCTAGTGTCTGTTCCAGCTTCAGCAGGTATTTATACAGTATCTACTAGTGGCAGGCATAGTTGTCCATAGTAAAGATTCCACCTTGAGCCAGCCTGGTTAAAATCAAGCCCATTTTTACACCATGTACCCTGCATCCCCAGCCTCTTTACATCACTGCCTCCCATCTTCACACCACAACAAACACCCCAATTCTAAGCTATGTTGTTACAACATCCTTGCATTTTTGCATTGCTTTCCCATTAACCATCCTGGACTCCAGGGATCTTGACAGACTTTGGTCTCCTCAGAAACTTGGAAAACCCTCAGGCTCCAATATTACTGTTGTCACCACAAGTTCCACATGTCCTATGCAGTGGGGAGAGTACCCTAGTGTAATTCATACTATTGTAGGTCCATGCAATTTGGGTTGGAGCAATTGGCAGAATTTATTGTCTTGTGTCCTCTACCTGAAATAGAATTGTCAGATGTTTCATTCCAAATTTCCAACTCCTGTGACCTCTAAATTAAACCTGAAAAGCTTGGAGAGGAAACAGCCATCGGTAGCTCGAAGTGTTCTCTTGGTCAGATGTTTCACTTCATAGCATCCTTGTGAAGGAAGACACATGGTAACTTCATGCTGACACATAATCACTTCAGCTTGTTAGAGAGGACAATGGCAGTTCCCTCAAGAACAGACATACTGATCGTGTGTGATAATTGCCTCTGTTCATTCGGCTCATGTTCTTTATCAAGAAAGAAACGGTGATCTGTGACCAATGAGAAGTCTTGGGAAATTCTCACTGTTTACATCTGTAGAGGTAAATGTCTGTGGACAATGCTATTAATTCCCATTGCATGGGTAAATATCTGCACCCATATGAAAAACAGTAAATCACTTAATTCACCCACTGGGCATTAATAATAGATGTGGTTATTTTTCTGGGAATTCACTTTATTTTCCCTTTAAGTATTTCTGGTTTATTCGAATTTCTTTTGACTACAGTGACAATGACAGAATTCAACCCTGCCTGTTTAATCTGACATACCCATGAGGCCCAAATGTCTATTATAAAAGGGCCATGGTGCCAGCACATTGCTTCTTGTAGGGGCTGAGGCATTTGAGTCCTCAGTAATTTACTCTTCATGTGTTGCCATTGCTTTCAAGGGAAGTCTATACCAGTCTTGCCTCAATGCACCAAGCCAGCTCCCTTCCCATCTTACAAAATTTTCCTTTGCTCCTGGAACTCTGTCTACTCCCCTCCAGCCCTTTACCCGTCTTGTTTTTTTCCCCCTTGTTAAACGCTTTCTTCTGTAGACATTATCCCAAATAACTGCTGCCAGTGCTATGTTGGAAGCACAAAACCAGATCCAGCTGACAGCTGTAAAACAGAACCCTCAAGTCTCTATTCTGATAAGTGGATTTCTCTTTCTGATGGTGGTGGTTGAGTCACATTCATTGGCTGGGCAGACAGAAGTACAAAACATCTAGATCTTGAAGTCCGGAACTGGGTGAACATAGGCCTCCCAATAAAGAATATTCTCAGGCAAATCCATGAGGCTGACTGCCCTGTATCCTGGATACTCCTCTTGGTACATGGATATCCCTCCAGGGACATTTGCCAAACCTTCTACTTAGCAAGATCTCCTTCATGTTTCTTGCTCATCCCTGGCTTCCCTTGGCAGGTGCTTCTGGTTGTGTTGGCTATGCAACATCTATTTTCCCAAGTTTTTCTTGTTGACAGATTTCTGATATTTTCATAAGTGACCCTGTAGTTTAGGAAAACTGAGGCCACCTTCAGAACTACGGGTTGATATCACATCTTGAGATGAGGCAGAAGCATGGGTGACCCTCAGTAGAGGATGCCAATCATATTTCCTGTGCTAGAAACTGGTTTAGAGAAGGGTTTAGGAACAAGTCTTCTGAGATACTATGAGTCACAGTCACCTAGACAGCCAGGGTGGCTTTCAGTCCATACTAATCATCCAATACAGCCAAGAGGGGCCACTGCTTGGCTCTGGGAGTTTTTAAATTCACAGAAGAGATAACAGCTCTTACTGAAGTGCACTTGACTTTTATGGTCTTCCTAGAGGTAATTTACTGGAGAAAATCTGGTTATCTAAAGCCAAGGCAGAAAACTTATCACATGGAATTTGCATATTAAACTTGAGAGAAGCAGCCACACTTGACTTAGTATAGATATTTGGTTTGTCCAAATAAACAAAGCATTCTATGGGCAGATGCAAGAGTAGGAAGACACCGGGAAGACAGGTGAACTGGTTTTACTGCTGGTTTTATCCCTATTCCCTGTTAACCATATCATTCAACTCACCCAGCATGAAACTCTAATGGCAAAACCAGAAATCTTGTTAAACGCCATATTCTGCATACACACATTCAGCTAATATGGAGCCTCTGAACTGCCTGGCACTGTTTAAATGTATGACATGTAACTATACACAACTGTTTTCTCCGGCTTGTTCTCTAACTCAGGAGAACAAACCAAACCATCCAGTATCATATAGAAGCTGTTCAGTGTGCTCTGGTGATAAAAGGAAAAGTGGAAGGGGGCAGAGTCCATGCAGGACTGGAATCCACAACCTCGACTCTTCAACCTTTCATTGTCATACTCCATTGTAGTTCTTTGACCATGAGAAATCAACAAAGAAGCTGTTTTCATTAGTGATAATGAGCAACAGGGCCTGGGTCCCTCCTGAGGCAAGGAAGACACATATATGTGGCATGACTTGACTATAATGAGAATCACCCATGAAAATACTTAAGGGTGGCTAACAGGCCCCAGTGGAGGCCACAACTCAGCAACACATCCCAGAGTCTTAAATTCTCCCTGTGTTCTAAGCTCTGTTTTTGGAAAAGGAAAAGACATTTACAAATCCAATCCAAACCCCCAACAAAATGGCTTGAAGAGTGGGCAATGGTGTGCATCTAATTTACACCCATGTCAGCTATGGGAGTGGGGGATGCTGGCCCTCAGCTAAACCAGAGCTACACTCTGTAGGGCTTTGCTCATTTGTGAACACAAACCCGCTCCTGGCCTCTTCCCATCAGACCCTGCCTTACATGGCAGGCACTTCCCGAAACATTCATTTGCATTTTCATCTTCTTTTTTTTTTCTTCTTTCTCAACTCACAGGCAAGAAAATAGTCAGTAAGTAAAATTACCCACGGCATATAATTTTATCCACATTTCTCACAAAGGTTGTCTCCTCCAGACTTCAGCAACTAGTTGAAGCCATCAGGAAGGGATTAGTATTGTTATGAAATGTGTATAATTGATTATGCCAGATCCTCATTAGGGTTGGCATCTGGCGGGCTCCCCATGTGTCTGAGGGTTGGTGTGCATGCACACACACACAATGTGGAAAGAGATAAATAGACCAGTGCCTCCCACAGAGTAGGTGATCAGCAAATGCAGAACTGACTTGTAAAATGCCTGAGCCTTGCCATTCAGCCTAAAAAGCTAACTTACTCTGGGAAAGAGAGCAAATGTCTGAAGCTGTGTTGCAGATATATTGCTGGTCTGGGGATGGGGGTGGTGAGCCATCCATTACTCACAGATGGGGCATGTGATTCCAGCCCAGCCAATGATGGGGTATCCTCTGGCCATGCAAATTAGCTCAGAGAAGGATGGTGGATGGTATCTTAGCCAGGTCAATGTATCTTTCCTGAAGCTGTCCTGACACAACACTATCTGCTCTTCCATGCCCCTGCTAAGCTGGTAGAATGTGAACCTGGACTCTGGCAGCTTTGCCTTGAGGACAAGGCCAGAATACGAGCAGTCACTTGAGTTCCTGGCTATAGCTGTCACCCTCAACAAGGTTCAGCTGAGTTTTTCTCACTTGAAGAAAAGTCATTCATTGCCAGTTCACAAATGATCATAACAACATGGCTACCACTTATTATCTACCATGGGATAGGCATCATGTCAGGTCCTTTAGAAAAAGTGTCTCCTTGCTTCTGTGACAGCATGCTTTGTTACATAATGTCATATTTCAGGCTAGATTTTGTGGGGGACTGTATTCATAGCTAGCCTTGTCCAGAAGTTAGTCATACCTGCATAGCAGCCCTGTGCATGGCAAGTGGTCCAGGCTGCCAATCCATGCTTTTTCTACCCTATGTCCTATCACTAGTCATCCTACTGGCCATATCAGCTCTCATATGATAAGAAATGAAGTCTTCTGGTTT